TTGTATTTATGACTAAGGATGTAATCTCTTAGCTTCCTGCTCTTGGCTGCCTGTCTCCAGGCTTCCCTTGCCATTCTGGACTTTCCCTTTGGATCTAAGCAAAATAAACTCATGATATCTTATCACAGCAATTCAAGAATAACAGGAGACCCGCTGTTGTGAAGAACCTGACTGTTTGGACTCGGGGAGCAGATGTGAAGGACTTTGAAACCTTGAACTAAACAGCCTATTTTGGCCATGAACACAGCTTAACAGCTCAGTCTCTTTGGAGCCTGGAAGACGGTTGTGCTGAGAGCAATGTGGAAGATAGAGGATTCAGATTTAAATATTTGTAACTGGTCTAGAGGTCAGTCATGAGACATTTTGGCAAGTGATGCCTTCTGTCCTTGTCCTGAGACCTTGCCCAAGGCTGGCTGCATTAAAAGCGATTGGATTGATTTCTTTGGCAGAGCAAGTTTAATGCCGAGTCTGTGGGTTGGTTGTGACTGATAACTATTAGGTAGGTCTAAAATGAAAAAGAGAACGTGGGACATAAAGAAATACTAAATGTACGGTTTGGAGAGAAGAAGAGCACTAGGCAGCTTCTGTTGCAGCCAATGTGCACGCCGAAAGAGAGGCTGTGATGTTAAGGAGAGAGGAGCCACTAGGGAGTGACATCCTGACTTCCGAGGCTGCACAACAACAATGGGGATGGTATGCAGAGGGCAAAACACCTCCTGGGTAAGCTTCCAGCTCGTGAAAGAGGAAAGCCTGAAGGGTTCCCTGTTCCTAGACAAAATTCAAAATAAAATAGCACTACACACAGAAGTCATCGCTGACGTGGCTCAAAGCAGGGAGTGTCCATCCTGAACTGGCCAACAAGCTTGGCGGTGCAATCCACAGAGCAGTGGTTTGGGAAGCCTGAGAGCTGCAAGGGTGAGGAGATCAGAGATTCTTTCTCCATGCTTCAGAGAGCTGCTGAGGACAGGCATGGCATAGCAGAGAAATCCTGAAAACCAGGTCACCAGAGGCCGTGACATAAAGCTGTGAACATGAAGGCCGGGTTCAGTGGAGACCCCAACATGTTGACGGTCCCAATACCTCAGGAAGCTCAGACCTTCTCTGCAGTAAACAGAGTTTTCTAAGGGACCATAAAAAATAACAGCTTTAGAATAAGATTCTAAATCAATCATAAGTCTCAATTTGGATCTTTTCAAATCCATTCTAGGTTTGATCTAACGATGCATTCAAACTTTTAACCACAGGAATAGTTACATTAATAATTCTCAGCAGTAGCTTTTATCATCGGGTAGGAACATTACAGTGTATTGTCCAAAATATTTTTATATTTCCCATCAAAATATGCTACTTTGCTTTGATGACCACCATTCAACTTCAGTGTGTTATAGGGCAAATGGCATTATATTTGTAATTTCCTTATTAACCTACAGCACAATGTTTAATGGGGCAAAGTAAGACATTTCAAGAGGATCCAGACATTGAAAAGAAGGCAGAGAAGATGGAGAGGGAAGACGTCTCCACTGTCTGACAGACAGCAGGGCAGAGTAGAGAAGCAGGGCAGGCAGGGGTGGTTAACGCCTCCCCAGCTAAGACCTTTCTGATACCCTGAAAGGCAGGAGTGCCCAAAGCAAACTTTAAAGGTGCATTCCTGTGAGAACAGCATTATGCCTTATCCACAGATTCCCCTAGCATCACAGCACGTTGCCTATGCTAGAGGCTCAGTCTGCCAAGGGGGTCAGCTGTGACCAAGTCAGTGACCACTAAGGAACTCGTGAAACAGTTCCCAGTACCACTGACCTTTCATTACTGTTCTCGGGAAGTTGTGGGCCAGACCATCAGCAGAGTGAAGAATCAATGCTTTCCCAGAACGAGACTGAGCTGAGGTATTAATGTATGCTGCCTCTGGTCTATAGCCAAAGAGTTTTCTCTTTCCCGGAAAATGCCGAAGCCCCCTTGATCCTGGTGCACCATGGCTCTATGTGAAGGAAAAGAAACTCAGAAACTCAAAAGTAGCGGCTGATCACCAGTGCAGGCAATAGCTGGGCTGAAGAGCGAGCTCAGAGTCCAACAGTGGTCTCAGGTGCAATCATTCTAACTGAGCCCACAACCAGGAGGGAAGCGGACTCTAGCAGCGGTGCCTCCTGAGGATGGAGACAGCAAGCCAGGACTATGGGGCGTTTGACTGGCACAGTCTCCCCCACACAGTACAGACACCGCTGATGGAGAGGGTAAGTTTCAGCTTTCTGGTGTTCCTATGTAAAAGCAAAGGGTCTTCAGGAGAAAACTGACTTTCAGTTCCTACTGCCATTAAGCAAAAGTAGCAATAAGAGAAAGAAGGGCTGAGGACAGGGCGAGACTGACACCACCTTATTTTTATGGAGAAAAATTTATGTTTTGCTCTATGAAAGGCTGGAATATACGTCACAGGGTAGCATAGGATGAATATGTGTTTATGTGAACTTTAAACATTAATCAGCATCTTTAATTATTAACGTGATTTTTGTTCAAAAGCTCCTTAAACTCTGTGAAGACATACTGTTTTGCATTAGAGAATGCATAGGCTAGCCAACTTCTAAGAAGCCAGAAGCCAACTGTCCAGTCATTATATACCTAGGATAGGCTGCTCAGTCTGGACTTACAGGGGCTTGTGGAGGTCCTCAGCAATGTGAAGAATTATTATAGAAATAGGAGGATCTCTATGAAGATTGAGAAGCATGAGACAATCGTTCCTGGGGGGAAAAGGCTGCAAGGGAAGCTGCTTCCTGACTTCAGGAAACTGATGGAAAGTTAACCAAACGGTGATGGTTAGATTGCTGTGCAAGGCTATCATGAAAGGTCCCCTGACTTATTACTGCAGCAGTACTTACTTTGTAGGCCAAGTGTGACGCAAAGCTACAATTTTAGAAAACATTTTCCTCTTTGTTCGGTTGGTTTTCTATTTTTTTTACTCTTCCCTTTTGTTTGGCATGGAATTTGACACCTTGAAATGAAATTCCTAAACTTGTGTGCATGTTACATAAGCTATTCCCCAAAGTTACAGTCCTTTGATTTTACCAAAGGCAAATTGATATAGTTTACTTCCGTCAAAAAAATAAATAAATGAATAAAGAAAGAATGCGGGGCCAGCAAAACAACTCATGGGGAAAGACGTTAGGCAGCAAGCCTGAAACCTGAGTTTAGTTCTGGATACCCACGGGGTGGAAGGAGAGAAGCAATTCCTCCAGGTAGCCTACCCTCCTTGAATGAATACACACCCAAAATAAGTACATGCAAAATAAAAAAAGAGGGACCATGAGGAAAATATTTTTAAGTGAAGAATAAAAAAAAATAAAGGAAGAGAACCCAAAGAGCATGCTTTAAAAGGGCAAAATGTCAGAGATTTTCCTTGCTATTCCTACCCAGTTTTCCTGCTTTACGGACACATATCCACATGCACACACAGACATGAACTCAGGTCCCTACACTCACATCCACACGTATGGACAAATAGGGCATACACACACACAGCCGGCCTCGACTTTGGTGAGGGGAATGGTCGTGTCAGGGTAGGTGCTCTTCCGGTGAGACCAGCGCACTATCATGACTTCTTATGCTGGAACCGAATGTCTCACTGTGGGGTAAAAGTATAAACTGCTTGACCTGGCCACAGAACATCAGACTGGACTCCGGTGAGACACCATCACAGTTCTATTCACATGCACTAATATTCCCTTCTACTTAGAAAGGTCTGATTTGGCAGAAATCCCTACTTTGGCTACAATATTGTGGTTGGTTAAAGAAGACATTCAATATTTTCTAGTTAAGGCTAAGCTAAACAATCTCCTCTATTCAATCCAGAGACTTTACCCACCACGGGAGGTAGATTTCAACACATTCGGGTTGGTGTTTTACTTTTAAAACTATTGGAGTCTTCTGAAAAAGTCCTGCACTCACAGCAAGTTGAGATAGGACTTCCTCCAAGAGACCCACATAATGTTTCATTCAAAACTGTCGGCCACTTCCCAGAAGGCCTCAAGGCCACTTTTAACCCATAGCATCAAGGAAGTCAGACAGGTGCATTCATACATCTGTACCGAACAACAGCAGCCCAGCAGCAAAATCAGCGCAAAATCCATGCAGAAACAGGACTTGAGAATGTTGTTCAGCAAATTGACAACATACAATTATAAAACAGCAGGGTGGAGCATATTAGGAAGATTGGGTCATTTCCTAGGAAGCAGGGAAGTCCTGGGCCACCTCTGTGCAACTCAGGGGGGCAGCCTGGCTTTCAGGTAGCTGACTCCATCTTAAGCCCTGGAGAAATCTCCGTCTCCTGTGTCGGGCTCTCAGCATTGCCTCCATAGAGTACAGCTGAGCCTATACCTTAAATCTGCACAATAGACGCCTTCTAATTAAGCAGTGCAGCGCACTTTGGGAAAACAACTATTTAAGCCTTTCAAGTGTCAGGGAATATTAATTACAGGTCTCTGTGCTTTCTGATATGGGAATCTGTGTTCTCAGACATGGCAACCCAATTACACACAAACTATCCAAGAAGGCTGCTTTGTAACTTTTGGTGACTCTTATAGGAACAGTAATGCACCAAATCTTTCAGGGATGAGGGTTTCCTTTCTGCAAAGCTTAGAATGTCTCGTGGGTATTTATCAGCTAATCTAAGGAGAATCTCACTGCCAGATACCCCACAACTTCAAAATGGTCCCTGCAGAGCAGACAGACCTGAGCCCTTGCGGTGGCCCTGCAGAGCAGAGAGACCTGGGCCCTGCAGAACAGACCTGAGCCCTGCAGAGCAGACAGACCTGAGCCCATCCGTACAGAGGCCCTGCAGAGCAGACAGACCTGAGCCCATCCGTACAGAGGCCCTGCAGAGCAGAGAGACCTGGGCCCTGCAGAACAGACCTGAGCCCTGCAGAGCAGACAGACCTGAGCCCATCCGTACAGAAGCCCTGCAGAGCAGACAGACCTGAGCCCATCCGTACAGCGGCCCTGCAGAGCGGACAGACCTGAGCCCGTACAGCACTGTCCCATCAGGGTGGAGGCGGATCATGCGGTTTTTCACTGTCACTCCGTGCACAAATGACTTTTTGTCATTTAAGAAATATGTGTCGGGCACCCAGAGCTGGTCAGCCACTCGATTGTCAAGCGTGAGGTTGAGAGGGATCCCAGAATAGGCGAGCCTTTTATCTCTCCAATATTGTTGAAAATACATAGTTAAGGTATAGTCCTGGGAGGAAGAGAAAGAAAAGAAAGAAAATTAGTTTGCGCTCAACACAGGTATAACTCCTGCATGCAACGACAAGTCCAGACTGAATCCCACTTCCTGGAAACGGGCAGAGCACCAGACACTTCCTTGGGAATGCAAACACTGAGTTCAGGAAGCACAACCTAAGAAGAGTACGGCATACATAGGAAAGTTTGCTTTACTTCGTTAAGGGCACCAGACGGATGGCATTCTGAGACAGCTATACAGAAAGAAAAGGTAAGAAAGCATTACTGTAAAATCAGATGGTTGGCAAGGAACTTGGTTGACTCCCTAGGTCCACGTTTCCCACCAACCAGACAGAGGTTTAACCAAGCCGTGTGGGTGGACTCTATCTCTAAAGCCGTCTCTGCAGTTGAAGCTGCTTTCTTCTGCCCTTGCAAAGACCATAAACATGCATGCCTTTCAGCGACATCCCCTGGAGCTAAAGTGTCCTGTTGGAGAGCTCGGTGCCTGACTTCCACGTGTTCTTTTCCTCTTAGCTCACCCTTGCTAGACATTAACTGGACCACAGTCTCACCTGGAGACTTGGAGTCGCACCTGGAGTCTCACATGGTGGCATGGGAACTAGGGAAGCCTAAGTCACAGCGGGACTTGGAAGGAGACCACCACACTGCCTCGGGCAACCAATGAAATCAGCCAGCACCCACCCAGGGAACTATAAAGCCATTTTTGCTTTTGGTTGTTTTTGATGGCAAAACAGTTAATTGAGTTGGCAGAGACGAAGGCACCCCAAATGCCCCCACAGGAAAACAAGAACATACACACTGCATAAATACACAGAGGTGTAGACATCAGAAAATACGGCGAGAGTCACAGGACGTTCTGGACCCTGAAAACCTGGAGGCATGTAGGTACATCCCACATGCTCCTTGGTCAGGTCTGTAAACACACTCATCTTGTGGGCAGTGAAAGGTGAGAAGCAAACCAGTTTTAGAGCCTATCCTGGACCACTGGGGATAACATAAGCCTACTACCTCACACGGCAGCTCTCCGAGGGGTATAGTCTGTTTCATGTGAATACATAAATGATATGCGTTACGCTTAAAGATGATAAAGTTCAGATATCAACCTGTCCTGTCCAGATGTGCCCAGCAAGTGGTTTCAAGAAAACTCACACATACTAACCAACCCTAAGCAAAATACAAATTCTGGAATGAAGGTACAGCGCAGGGTCAGAAGGCAGGCCTTGAACGTGTGACCCTCCAGCGAAACAAGTGGTCCTAGACGGGAAAAGCAGAGGGCAGAGGAAAAAGGGCAAGCCCATGTGCGCTAGAGTCCTGGATTTTATCTGGATTCTAATGAAGAGGGAGCACATGAGAAGCAGGAATTTCTTACAAGAACATCCAGGGGTAGATCTCTGAGCCTAGGACTTCCTAGATCGATGCTCACTCCCGTCCCCATCACAAATCAGAGATTTTCATGAAGAAGATGTCCCTAAACCTAGGCCCTGGGAAGCTGGCTGAGCAGGCAGGGAGCGTGGCAAACCCGGGAGCTGTCAGTTTCCAGCCCTTACATATTTGTAAGTATATGATGAGGGCAGCGGAACGGGACCCCACACAAATAGCTGAGGAGCAGGGACCAGGATCAAGCATCACACAGTGAAAGCCAGCCTAGTCTCATGTGCCCGGGGGCTACCAAGTTCATGAAACCATGGAACTTAGCTTCGGCATGTTTGGACATCTGGGGCCCCGCTGAGCTGGGGGAGCTGATTTCCCAGGGTTATTCAGTAATTACACAAAGTGGACAACTTCCAGGGCTAGTGTGAGAGTTAGGACATCTTTTATATCCAAGCCAATGGATCCAGAGCCCATCCCTTGCTCTTCCTCTATGGAGCTTGTTCATAGCAGCTAACAATTCACAATGGCTAGTGACCTAGCTCTAGGTGTCAGATGACTGCGAAGAGCCTCTACCGTTAGGAGCCTTGCAATTAAACAATTCTAGGATGTTTGCCTTTATCTGTCCTTTTTATGGAACATTAAAGGGCTCTGCTTAGAGGTGACCTTTGCTTTCCACCATTGGACTTCCATTGGTGTTCTTATGTGGCCCCCATGGTGGGGTGTGTCCCTCCTTTGGTTACTCTTTCACTAGCAGCCATCTCCCAATAGGTCGCCTTTCCTATACCTGAGCATCTTGTGATGGAAAACACTGTCAACCTGACGGGATCTAGACCACCGGGGGGAAAAAAACTCTGGGTATTACGTAAGGGAGCTTCCAGATTGGATAGGTAGAAGTGGAACAACCTACTCTAAATGTGGGTAGCCCCATTCCATGGGTTGGGTGGGATTCTGAGCTGAATGGAAATGAAAGGCTGAGCTGAGAACAGCCATTCATCTCTACGCTTCCTAATTGCGAGTATGACAACTCTTGCCATCAAACTTTGGCTGTCATTCAGGACTGTATGCTCAAATGTGAACCCAAATAAGCCCTTTCTTCCTGAAGAGGGTTTCTGTCAGGTATGTCGATATAAGAAAAAAAAATACCTCTCTATCATATAAAATGAGGATTGAGACGTGGGGCCACCTGTTAAGTTGCCCACATCCCAGGGGTCAGACCCACCCTCATTAGCCTCTGGGGAGGACAGAACAAACTCCTAGGGTTATCTTTTTAAAAGACACAAATTTCAGAAGAGGTTGGAGAGGATAAGGGAAGTGTATGGATAAGTCAAAATACATTGTATGCAGGTATGAAATGCTCAATGAATTAATAAAAAATACGTCTAAACCCATGAAAAATAGAAGTGGGGCCATTGCTCATATGAGTCTGATCATGTAGACTGTAGGTCTTTGGAGCCCGTCTATGGGAAGAATGTGGGAGTTTGAAACACTGAGCTAGAAAACCATTAGGACACTATAAACAGAGCTGACCAGACCGTCCTGGTGGGAATTCTGAGAGAGCAGAGGGTGAACCCATGCAGATTCACAGGGGAATACAGAGTCTACTGAGAACTGGGCTAGGGGCCATTCAGGTTATACTCACAGTCCAGCTTGAGGGAAGTTGAACTCAAAAGTCAATGGCTTGGCAGAGGGACTTTCAAGACAGGCTAGCGTTCACTATTCTTTTCCAGGTAGGCAATGACAAACAGCAACAAATAGAGGAAATGAGAAGAAAGATGTGCCCATTGTCAGGAAAGGAGGTTAAAGTTTCCAACAGGAAGAATGTAGTTGTTGAGAAGAATGGGCCCCAGTCAGAACCAGCTGCCTTCTCAGCACTGGGGTAGCTGGGAAGGTACTCTTGAAAGCAGAACCCCACCCACTGAAGAAAACCTCTTGCGGAACCCCAAATTCTTCAAGAGAGACTAACCTGAGCAAGCTGGTGAAGGGCTACCCTGATCAAACACAGCCACCTGTGGTAATATGCCCCAAGGTCAGCAAGTAGTCCACATGCTACTTGTTATACATACACGAAAAACGGAAGGATGAAAGCCAGACACGGTGGTGCTCACATAATCTCAGCACTGGAGATGCAGAGGCAGTCAACAAGAGTTTAGGGCTAGTCTGGTTTACATAAAGGGTGCAATGCCAGCGAAATAGGAAGGCGTAGATAATGAGACCCTAATTAAAAAACAAACCCAAACAAAAGCAGGAACGGAGGCTTAAGCCAAAGTCCCAGATGGCTACTGAAGTCACATCCATAGATGAGGGCCTCGGGGTCCATGGCATGAAGGAAAAGCCCAAGTTTTGATGGAAGTGATAGGATGCTGGTAATGTCAGGACCCCGGGATGGCAGCAGAGGAGGGTTGCATGTCAGGACCCCGAAATGGCAGCAGAGGAGGGTTGCATGTGAGGAGTAGAACTGACCTGGGAAAGAGGTCACGAGTGCCACAGGATTGCAGAGCTGGAGGGTGAGGCAATGCAAACCTGTTGGACCTCAAATGGCTCCATCAGGAGCTCCAGATACTTAACACTGAGCTGTGGGATTTCCCATTTGCCCTGCTTGGTCTGGGTCCTGCTTTGGTCTGATATGTCTTTGCTATGCTCCCATCTCCACGTTTCAGAAAGGGAACATTTATTCTGTGCCCTTGACGGTTAGAAGCATGAAACTTGTTTTTATGGTATAGGAAACGCAGTGCTGAGACACTGCCCAGGCGCAGAGGGGGCTCTGCTCATCTGCTCTCAAAGGGGTTAGACCTCTTAAAGGCTAGAGGGACTTTTAAGGTGGATAAAAGGCATTTTGACTATGAGATGTTTGACAAGGGGTCGGAAACTGTGACTTGAAAATGATCTACTTGAGTTTCCGTTTGACGCGGTGCAGAGTTGTGATGTTAATAATGCCAACTTGGCAGGGTCTCTACTACCTAGGAGACAAGCCCGTGGGCATGTCTGGGCCAGAGCTTCTAGATTAGGGTGAGAGGAAAGACACATTCTATATGTGGATGGCACCCTTCTCTAGGCTGGTCATACATGGAAGAAGAAAGCGAGCCACGTGCAAGAACTCATCTCTCTCTTTGTTTCAGCAGTAGACACAAGGTGACCATTACCTCAAGGTCCTCTGCCATCATCAAATGTGCCCTCAAACCGTCACCCAGAATACGCCCTTCCTTCTCTGCCTTACTTTTATCAGGCGTTCTGTCATGGCCACAAGGAAAATAACTAAGGCACACGTGACTCATATTCTAAAGCACAGCATGTAAGTGAGAGAGCTTGGCTATACAACCAAAATCTCAATGGTGAGGGGGCAGAGGTCATGGCAAGAAGTACCTGCTGCTTGGAAGCAAGAGGACCAGGTGTAGAGGGCTGCCTTGGGAAGCCCTGAAATGTCAGACGCTGCCGATCCAGAGCTGCTGGGGAATGGACCACCACCCTGTCTACGCTGACTTTTGTTAAAGAGGTGACGTGCGATAGATAACCCAAACACGAGCAGCCGTGGAGGCACAGCAATGCGGAAACTGATGGCAGGCAGCGTCGACTGGGGTCTCTTCTGTGCACAAAACTCTCCAAACTAACAGAAGAGGAAAGTTTCCC